ATCTGCTTTGGTTCTGGAAAAGGAATCGATAGGTGGATAAAAATGCAAATTCCAGACTAAAAATAGGGCTGACTGTGAGCCCAGCCACAATGCCGTAACTCTTGAATTCTGCTAATAGGTAGGGCATTTCTAGCGTCTTTTTACTAATGGAAAATATTTTGGTATAAAGTTAAATTCTAATTAAAATAGAGTTGGGAATTAGGAAAGGTAAAGATTAAAAAAAATTATCGGATATATTTTAAATGTATAATTAAACAGATATGACAGGCGTTAATATATATATTCTCACTTCCTCACGAGATGGGTTGTGTCCAAATTTGAAATATAAATAAATAAATAAATAAATAAATAAATAAATCCATTCACAATTGACTAATCTGCTTTTTACGAGCCTATTAACCTAGTGTATATGAGAACCCCCCTTTTTTAAGAATTTGGGTTATCAAATTTGGTTTATCTCAGTGGAGCTGAAATGCTATCTTATGTTAAGCGATCTAAATTGAGGGAAGTTGACTCCTCCAAGTGGAAACAAACCGAGGCAAAGGGCACTGACGATTAAAATGGGAATTCGGTTTTGGACTGGTAAGTAAGAACAACAAGGGAAAGAAAGAGCTGAAGTTTGGAGCAAGGCTCTGGAGAGACTTGGACACCAAAAATGCTATTTGCAATGGTAAAGGATATACAGTAATTAAAATTTCCACCTGAGCCATTTTAATGAATTATTGCACTTACTGCAGGATGCTTAATGTTTTACGGATATGGTTTACTTACATAAAGAGGCTTCTTAATTTCTTTTTTAAAAGCAGCATATTGTTCTACAGCGTGCTTATGTTTTATTTATTAGCTTAATATCATACAAAAGAACAATCTTGGAATAGTTTTATTTTGCACCTATTTCATTAAACAAATGACTAGAGTGCTTATCCATTGATTTCATCTTCAGCACCAAAAACTCTTGGAAGATGGGGTAGATATTTGCGACACTGTACGCAAGAATTCTTAGAATGAGTGTAAATACCATCAGCAATCAGGTCTCCATTATATTTTTATTGAGGCTTTCATAAAGCGGGTGAAATAATTAGTTTTGTTTTATGAGTCTGTTTTAAATTCTGTCCTGTCCCTTCAAACTCATTCATAAACCAAACAAGAGTTATAGGTAACTTTAAGAATGGTTTTTTCCCCCTCATCTGTTGTTTTTAAGCAAAGAACAAACTCTCAGCGTTATCATGCTTTGCATTCAAAAGTGGCAAGTTGCAATATTAAAATGTGCCGTGTCTTGGATTCCATTACATGGCAAGCATATGTGCGCAGACTACATCACTCCTTTCTCTCAGCATGAAACTGAAATGGACTGACTTGCAATTAGTCTAAAATGCTGGTTTGGATAATGGAATAATGGATGGATTCCTGTTGCAAGCTTTCACTCATTCATTAATTCTGAATGACTGATTGATTAATTAAAAGCCCATTAACAACTAAGATAGTAGTATCATTTATGAAAACTAAAATTGGGTGTATTTTTAACAACACTGAAGAGGCATTTCTTCCTCAAACTGGAAAATCTTTTTTAAGCTGGCTCCTTCTGCGACATATATATGCCCCAACTGTGTGGGATTTTCCTCCCAAATTGTTGCATGAATATGCAGAATAAAGCTGATTTAATCCACTTACTTGATTAATTGACAAACTGCACAATTCTACATATATCAATACAAAATTAACCCCACTGAATTCAGCGGAGGTTATTTCAATGTGGCTTGAATTGAAGCCTAAGAATTTTTTGATTGGATGACAGCCTGAGATCACATCTATCGGCCTAAATAATCATCAAATTGATGCCTTTCTGACCAGACTAATACTTATTTCATATGTATAAATAGTCTCCCAAATGTTATTAAATGATAATAATAAAAATGGTGCATTTCTGATCAGGCTAATGTTGGTTAACAGATTAAAAGCAATAAAATTCAGTTTACTGGCATGACATAATGCAATAAAATAATGCCATTCCCAGCCATTCTACCTCAACCTCAAAAATTCAAGTTTCCCAAAATAAGTGAGTTATACACAGTACAGGAGGGTATATAATCCTATCTTCTTGAGAGTTCTTTATTCAATCCTGGGGCTATTACTAAAAAGGCTCTACATGTTGGAAATTACTTTATTGAAGGTACATGAAATGAGGCTTCCCTTAACAGGGTATGTTCATAAAACAATCTGCTGCAATAGGGATATTTAAAAAAGCTTCGTCAGACTTTAGAATTTGTTGTCATATACTTTCCTATTATTTATCCATTTAAAAAATGTATATTCACCTTGGCAAAAAAGATATCAAATATTTGTGACTGACTATGATAAATCCAGATTTCATCTTGCCCCAAAATAAAACAAATAAAAAAGCAAGAACAAAACCCCCAGTGCCTAACCAATGCCGTCTGAGTATGTAGTATTTCCTAAAATCTGAAAGAGATTTGGGCCGATGCAAACTTGTTCCTGTAGCTGAGTTATCCCCAATATATACAGATTCCTTTTTGCAGGAAGGCAACAACAGTAGTTTGAGCAACGTTCAGTCCAGTCATTGTAAAATTGATCCAGCAGCAGCAGCAGCAGCAGCAGCAGCAGCAGCAGCGGGATCGTCTTCCACCTCGCTCCATCTCTGGTGTGCTCCCAACTCAAAGCAGTTGCAATCATGGGAAAGAGTCACTCCAATGGAATCTGTAGTTTGCAGATTTCCATCTGAGATGCAATTTAATCATTAGAGAAAGTTTCTGCAAAGCCAGCCCAGCATGCCTTCCTAGAAGGAAGTTGACCCCAATTTTGTAAGCGGGTGTTTGTGAAGTCAAAGGTGCATTCTGAAACAGACTCAAAAGCTGGCCAGCCGGAGAATGCCCAATCTGGCACACACAGGAGAAATTATCCACGATTAAAGAGTTTCTGATTAATATGACTTATGTGCCAAAACTGCACATGCGGCGTATGATCTCAATTAGACTGAAACCTTATTCTTCAAGGCTGAGATCCAGATTCATTCTGTAATTTCTCCTTTGTTTAACTTGGACATTTCTTGACAGGGTTTTAAAAAAATTAGAAAATTAAAAAGCATGGCCCCCAAACACCCCTCATGATAAATTAAATTTCTCTGTCAATGTCTTTCTTATGGTGCCTTTCCTATTTTAATCTTTCCTAAAGATGGTATGGGGTTGGGAGGGGGTGTTGTGCATTCATTTAACATACACTACCATTTAGTTTTGCTAATGGAGCTTTAACAGTTTAACAGGAAAGAATGAGTCCCCATGTGCAAGGTTTCGGTAAGAGAGAGAGAGAGGGCACCAGTCTTGCCAAAGAAAACTGCTTGAAGGTAGAAAGGAATAAGTATATAATCATACCACTGTCATTACCTCTGATATTAAGAAAGGAGGAAATGTCAAAGCCTCTAATAAAAATAAGTCCAGATTTAATGAGTCCACAGGAGAGGAATTATCAACATTAATCATTTTGGCTAGTGTATTAAGATACCTGGCAACACAGAAATCAGCTTTTCCATTCTGGGCTTATATTCAACAGTTCTGGGCTTCTTTCAAATAACTTTTTCTATGAATCCTTAGAAAATAACCTCTTCTGAACTGGTAGTATCATATCATAAATATAATATTTTTTTAAAAACTGACTTGATAAATTCATATTTTAGTATCTGCCTTTTATGGAAGCTGGACAAAACCGGAACCTCAATACTTTAGGGAAATATAATATAATCTTTGTGCCTACAATTGCACTGTAAACAATCATTTTACTTTATTCTAAACAAAGCATCGTAATTGGTGCTGATGTCAGCCCCACTACGTAGACTAGACCAGGAGTCAACTCAAGAGGAAGGCTAACACTCTTTTTATTGAGATTGGCTATAATAACAGAATCTTGCAAGTCTGATGGTGCTGTACCTCCTCCTCCTCCTTATAGTTCAGTGAATTAGGGAGGTGTCTGTCTGAGCTGCTTCCGAATGTTATCCAGAGGCCAGACGTTCTGTACATAAAAAGTGTATTTTTTAGCCCCTCTTGCCTACGTTCCTGCGTATCTCCGTAAGGTTCTCTTCCTTATTCTCTGCAGCAGCATCCCATCCTGGCTCCACCACAGGTCATCATCTTGTTCTCTCTCTATATCTGGCGACTCAATTAAGTATCACTTTCTTTAACCCTGCATAAAGTTGTGATTTGCTATGCTGTTCAAATTCTGAAATCATTAGATTATCTTAGTCATTTGAGGGGAGGGTGTGGATTTAGCATAATGAAATGTGTAATACAAATGCAAAGTCATTATCCAGAGACCAGTAGAGGGAGCTAAAAAGTTA